GTCTTCCTCAAACCCTTGATGAACAGATCAAGAATAGATCTGTCTAGCCATCGAATTATCTGCCGACCAACTGATTCAAATGCATCTTTTTCTTCTGAATTTTTATGCAAAGACTAAAATATCAGAATCAGTAAAACAACATATTACTTTTTTACTTCACGATTGGATCATATAAAAAGGTGAAACATATTGTAATATTACTAAAACAGTCTTATCCAGTATCCGCCTTGAGTTAGCATTTTTGCCTATATATATATATATATATATATATATATATATATATATAAGCTCTAAAGAAAAAGCAGCGAAGGAAAACAGAGAAAAGTGATACTCAAAAATAAATAAAAATGAATATAATTACTTTTAATTGAATAAAGCCAACAATTTACCGCCAAAAGTCCTTCCATTTCCTTCTCGATATGTAAAACTAGAACCTTTGGTAAAGAAGATTCCGCTAGACGCAGGTCTCCTCTGGCAACAGGATACTCCTCAGGAATACAAAAAATACACTTTAATGAGCGCACATCAAACGGCTGTAATTGGCAGGGGTATAAAGTCACAAATATATAACCAACCACTTTTTTGCTACAAAAAATCAAGAAATACATACCCAATCTGGATCTGTTACGGTATAAGTGAATTCAATTTCAGCGGCATTACTCTCCAGGCAACGAAGCTCTGTTTCTTCAAATCTTCTTTTAAAATAATTTATATCTTTTTCCCTCTCCCCTTTCTGCTCTTCGGTTCCAACTTGCTCTCTTTTAAGAAAGACACGTGGTCGATAGGATTTTGGACGCCAAGGAGGCCTAGAAACCTTTCCAGGTTCCTGAACTCTATTTTTTCCCGATTCATTTGAGTTATCTGGCACGACTTTAGGCGAACAATTATCGTCGGTTTCAGGCTCCAGACCAGATTCGCCACGAAAAGGCTTCTGTCCGAAGCTTCGCTCAGTTCTTGAAGCCTTCTGATGTACAAACCTACACTCGTCACCGTAAGCGCACCTGCCGTATCGGTAAAATCGACAAAAAATTCGACGCTTATTTCCTGTAAAACCTTCTAAATCAATTATGTTTTATAAAAAGAACCGGAATGTTTAAAATGAGGGCTGTGCAATTTAATGAATTTGAACGGTATACGAAGAAAAACTGAAAAAAATATATATTTCAGGATAGTACGAAAAAAGTCGCAACCACTGATGAGCTGCTCTGAATTGATCTAAATGCAGAAACAAATACAATTTGACTGAATAAACGTGCCTCTAAATGATTTTCCAACCACTTCTACATTGTTGGGACCCGATTTAGGAACGCCACCATTCGACGCCTCTTTTTTTACATTTTGTTGTTTATCCAAAACTGTGCATTTCTCCTGGAATTCATTCTCGTCCATCCAATTTTCCTTTCACTTTTAGCGTCTCCAAAGGACACACTGCTACGAAAAAAGTACACAGTAATCTGCAACTGCAACTTTCTGAATGTGCAATTTCGGGCAGTAACCGCGTCTAGACGAATAAAATTTAGATGCTTCTGTAACTAAGGGACGCTTCTCCAACCCACTAGCTTCGTACTCTCAAACATTCTGCAACGGTTACTCCCCATACATCAGTAAGAGCCAAAAACAACGGCTATTTCCAAAACTGAAGGGAAAACACAGCAAGTGTGACTGAAATCTAAAATGATAAAAGATCTCAAAAAACAAAAGAAAGAGTCTCGAAATGGCATTTATAAAACACAAAAATAACCGGGTAGCTAACGGCCCTCGAAAGGAAAAAAGACTGTTTAGGAACAACTTATCTGCCTTTAGCAAACACAGTTCCGCATTGTTCTATTGTGAAAAATCATCGGCGATTACTGAAAGAGTATTGAAAGAAGAAAAATCGTTTAGCGTAACTCGAGTAGGTTTAATTTCAAATCTTTAAGAAAGGTGCCTTATGAGTGTGCAGATATCTTCATCAAAGGTCAGAAAACCAGAAAAATTTCAAAGAACAGATTCCTGTAACAGGCAAATCAAATTGAACCAACTGTTTTATACATCAGACGATCACAAGGCATAGGAAAAAAAAAGTAATAGATCGTGTCAGTCTCTTTAGTATCTTCTGTCTTTAGCCACCAATTCCCTTTCATTGGTGATTGTTGCTTCTTAACTAACAAAACAGCAACTTCACACTAGATATATATTATATTTTATATATTATATATATACTTTTTTCAAATTCATATATACCCAAGTTTTTCTGTCTTTGCAGATTCTTGCAACGAAAGAAATCAAAATCTGGAGAAATGCCGATTCGGTTCTGTGTAAGAAGCAAATGATGCTTGTAAAGTCGTAGTAGTAGTCGTATAATACAAAAATTCTCGGCGAAGTTTGCATTAAAAGATCAAGAAATGTCCTTTAAAATAAAATAAAAAGCAACCTATTTTTCAGACGCTATTAAAAGTTATCTGCCTTCAAAATACGCTATCTTCAGGGCGAAAGATGCAAAGTTTTGCCACTTTGGGAGGGTGCCAGTTAGCCCGCTAAGAATCCAAAGTAGTCGTTTAATTCGTTTTGAAGTTCACACTCAGAACTTATGACCTGCAAGATTTAAAACAAAAACCTGAAAATGCGGGCGAAAAAATGTGGAATAGTCAGTAACATTGTATATCGTTGCAATGAAAAGGTAACAGTTACAGTATACCTGAGAATTTATCAGTAATGTTCGCTACGCTTCCCTTTTTTTCCTCTCCTCTTGTACGTTACTTTTAACATCCTACTCCCCATTCGGTTGAAGGGGATCTTTTTATAAATGGGATACTGTACTCACTATAAATAAGATAAATCGACAAGAATCCTTCCCACTTGCCTCTAAGTTCAAGAAGGCACATCTCCCTCAATGTACATCCCTTGTCTGAAGCAAGCCAACTGGGTTCAAATTCAGTTAAGCGATAGTCAGACACGTAAAAAGCCCAAATAGCCCATTATCAGTAAATTTTCAGGCATGTTTTAACTACCATCTCTTCGTTTCTCTTTTTTTTTTTCAGTTACGATGTTATTGGTTATCAGCTTCTCTACCAATCGACTTGATGTAACCAAAAGTTTACAATAAAGACACAATTTAAACAAATTTCTAGATGTAAAACACAGTTTTTCAGTTGGCAGTTAAATAAGTCTACTATGGAACGTGAAGCACGTAAAGCTGATAACGTTTGAAAAGGTTAGGTAAAATTCATTTAGGGCAAGGACCAAAGGAAGAATCCGAATTTTAGAACTAACCGATGAAAATGCACCTTAATATAGAGATAGAAAACTTGCGATATGGACATGGAGTCTGTGTCCACTTCAAAAATAAGCGTCTGATTCTTATTATTGACTTTTCTAGACACACTGATTAGTGAGATGACAAGGCCAATTTAACCTTTTTCATGTGAATTTTGCATTTATTTACCTGAAAGAAGGGAACGGAGAAGATAGAAGAAAATAGCGATGACCATAAAATCAAGGACTTATGTCGAACTGATCAGCACAAATTGAACAACAGCAGTTCTGCACCACTCCAACATTATCCCAATTTTTCAGGTCTAAGAATCAGGATGAAAGATATGAAATTATATTAAATATATAAATATAAATTTTAATT